CCCCCCCAGGTGTCCTAAACTCTCTTACAACCCTGGAAGAGTTCCAGAAAGGCAGAGATCGCTATCTGACCAAGTACACCCCTGAGATCACTATCTGAAGTTTTTGAGATCAGTATCTTAAGCTCTGAAAGTTAGTTTTGAAAAATGCTACTTAACATCGTAACCAAGTGACCTACCCTACCTAGCCAGCATTGAAATTGCTTGAGCGGGCCTATTTAATTGTGTTTGTATATAGATGTGTGTAATATATTTGGGGGCAGGAGAGAGAGATTTTTTTTTACTTGATCAGTGTAAGGCAGTTTCAGATTCTTCTCTGACCTCTTGAGCAACAGCACACGAAGGCTAAAAATACAGAGCACCTTTTGCAGACTGCTAGAGAGCACAACTAGAAAGTAAGCGTGCACAAAGAACCTGTGACTAGACAAAGCAGCAGGCTTACACTGAACCACCTAGTCTGAGATCTGCTGCAGATGCTAGTGCAGGGGTAGGCAAAATGCAGCCCGCAGGCCGGATGTGCCCCTCCAGGCCAATCTACCCGGCTGGGGGGCCCCTAAAAATTTTTAGAAAATATGCATCTGCTCCTGGCTGCCTGTCATGCAGCCCTTGATGGCTTGCCAAAACTCAGCAAGCGGCACTCTGCCCAAAATAATTGCCTGCCCGTGTGCTAGTGAGTAGAGCTGCTACCCAGCACAAAGGCCTTGTGAGAACAGAGGCATAGCTGGGATTTGGAATAGTGTATGTCACATTATGTTTTTAGGTGATCATGAGCCATGCTTCTCTGCAAACTGAGGCTTGAAACCAGCAAATTGCAACTGTAGACTACCCTTAACGCTCACAGAAATAAAAATCAGTGGGATCTTCTTTACTTCAGTCCAAAACCATGAATAGACCAAAATCCAACTGCACTGGAACCTAATTTCTCTAGCGAGAATCCTGTATTGAAGGAAGAAAAGATAGGATTCCCAAACACAAATTACCTGCTAAGATGCTGGATTGGGGAAAACTGCTTGGACACTACGGGATAATGATCGTCCCCCTAAGTTTGGGACTGAAACGATCCTGGTATGGTGACATTGTAGCCTGTATAATTGCACCAGGACTGAACTTGGCCTAAATGTAGCTTTGTAGCCTTTACCTGCGTTGTACTGTCTTACACCTGGTATAAATTTATCCCAGTAACTGTAAGTTTGAGGGGTGGTAGAACTATCCACTACTGACTATTTTTAGCAATAGGAAACTGTCGTGGCTACAGTTTGTCTTGTGCTGTACAGTCTATGGAATACAGACCCAGGACTTCACTCTTGATGAAGTACCAGAGAAATTGGCCCACTACATATGAGTACTTACAGGTTGTTCTGATCCCCAGTCATGTTCCAGTTGGACATTTGTTTTTCTATGTCCATTTTTTTCCCTCCAGCGCGAAGCATAGTGGAATGTTTCAATGTCTGGGGAATAGTGGACACCTGATTTTGCTCCTGCTTGATCCCAGTGTAAATCTGGAGTAATTTCACTGCAGTCAGGAAACTTTTTTTTTTTTTTTTTTACATAAAATGGGTAGGAAAGAGCAGCAGAGTCCTTACAGCACAAATTATGGTCTATGCTGACAAAATCATAACCTGAACATCATTCCTATAAAGAAAGAAACTGAAACAAGTACTGTTTTCCAGTTCTGATCATTGATGTCCTCCTAATTAAAGGTTTGGGCTGACAGTGTATTAGGGGGGGAAAAAGCAGTCATACTCCCTGAGTTAGGCTTTTAATTTTTATACAAAAATTCTAAAGATGCTGTGAATGGCAGGTATGTCAAATAAGCATCTACATTCAGCCTCTCATCTTTCTCAGGGTCTTAGGTGTGGGGAGTCCCACTGTCTACATGATCCCACAGAGGGGCCGACTACAGGCCTCCTGAAGCTCTCCTCTCATAAGCCTGGTCCTGTCTGGTGCTGAATGCCTCCTGAGATATGCAGTTCACTTCCCCAGGGAACTGAAAGTGCCGTCTCTCACAGAACCAAACCCTAGACATATCTGCTGTGCTGTGTTTGAATATCAGTGACAAAGGAGTGCAACACCTAGTCGAGTTGTTAGTGCACTGACCAATGATACAGACAACTATTGAAGTATGTCTTGTGTCAAAGCAGATACACTTCAGCAGTTGTTTGTGCCACTGAGTCTCAAATTCTGAGTACAACAACATCCTTAGGAATTCATACTTTGCTCTGTTGAACAGAGGTAGGATAAAACCTAGCCAGGCTCTGTGGCACTAGTCAGAACTGTGTCTGCCATATCCGAAGATTTCTGAGTCCAGGCTCTGGCAGCATGCGGGCTGGACGCTCACCTTGCTAGGGTCATCTGACTCCAGCAGTCTTTCCTGCCCAAGCACAGGGGTGCTGAACCTGATGATCTTGAGAGGGTCCTTGCAGCCCCTAACATCTGCAAGTCTATGAGGCACACAGTACTCAAAGGACAGAGCTTCCACTTGCAGGTATTGACGTCTGAGACTTGAGCGGCAGTGGCATTGATGCATCCTCGGCAGCCAGACAAGCAGCTCCATTCTGATGCATTTGGTCCCCCACCATTTTTTTTTGTTCCATTTTAGGAGGAGAGTAGCTAGGAATTGCGCAGTGTGGTATCTTACCACAGCACACTCTCAGCTAGAGAAGCATAAACGTTCCCAGCTTGCATCACCTTGCCTCCAAGAGTTCTGATTCAAGTGTTCTTCTAATGCCTCATGGCAACTCACCCAAGGTGAGTTGCACCTTGCACTACTGTGTCCATGTCCTTTGTCAGTACATTCGGTTGGTACAACAATGGATTTGTGAGAGCAAAAAAAAGCTCACAACCAAGGTGTCCATGAGCACAAGTGCACCGAGTGTAGCTCAGCTATTGCTGTTGCATGTGAAGTATCTGTGAAATTGTCCTGCCCTGGCAACTAAAATGCGAACACCGCTCATCTGGTGAATGTTCCACAACTGTACATAGTAATTTATTATAAGGGAGTAATTGTGGCATAGGTTTTTATTGATGAAGTCCTGAATAAACTCTACAAAGAATTATGCCCCCAACATTGGAATGCTGTGGAGATGAAACTCGTCCAGGTCTGCTCTTCCGTGAATGTGGGGGAACTCTGATTAACTCTTCAAAGGGAAAACTGAGATGGGGAAGTATCTGAGTCTGTCCCAGCTCTTTAAAAAAACACTATGACATGAGGTCAGGAGTTAATATATTTACTTTTTACTGATCATTGTAGCAAAATGCATCTCAAACTTAATTTTTTTCTGGCATTTGCTTGGTTGAGGAGAAAGGGCACAGGAATGGAAAAGTTGTACCTAAAACTAATGTTCAATCTCTGGAAATAAAACACGAAGAAAACAATCTAGTGCTGCAGCTGCATGTGTGTCATGCGTTTCTAAAAATGAAAGGCTGGAGAAAGAATGCAAGCTGCAGAGGAGAGGGAGGTGATGGGTGTCTCCCCATTCTTACTTGCAGAGGAATCTGGAATACAGATTGCAACCCATTGTAGTTTCCCTGCTTGCCTAAGAAACGGCTGTGAGCTCGAAGACTGACAACTGCACAGCAGTTACTCCCACGAGACTGTTATTCCCAGGATTGTCACGCAATTGCTCTTCTAAACCACTTTCCTGGTAGTCCCAGTGTGAGGAAAAAGATGAGACTGAAGTAGATGATGCAAGGCACCCCAAAGCGCTCTCTCTACTGAAATTGCCTGGCTGGGCTCTTAGCTCCCTGTTACGAGCTGGACCCTGGAGCAAAAGGCTAGGCAGTGATGCTCATGGTTTGTTAAGGCCCCTGACATCTGCCCCTGGCATGCCAACATCTTCCAAGTAGGTTGTGGCTGTTCTTTAGCACTCTACCCAAAAACGTTGCTGAGCCCTGGACTAGATGGTCTGTGTCTCGGACGGCCAGGGCCGACTCGAGTTACGCTCGTGCGTCAGGGCGGGCTGGTGAATGGAGAGGCTGACAACTTATTGGTTGTAAAAAACTTTACTCACGCCGCTTGCAATCACGACGCAGGTGGTCCGGTCGTCTGAACAACCACACGAGTTGCTCCAGCTGGCGGGGCCCAAGCCAGTTAATCCGTCCGCAATTCAAAGCCGGCGGGGAAAGGGGTACGTCGGGGTTGCGTTTGGTGACGGGAAGAAAGATCGATAGGTGATCAGTCTATCGATCGGCAGCCGCAAGTCAGATAACTTCAGAGGCACTCTTAGCCGCCACGTGTGAATAATTTAGCACTAGCCAATAGCGGGGCACAAATTTGCATCCGAATAGCAGGAACTCTTTGCACCATGCATCTCTGTGCTGCAAAGAAGAAATGCATCTTGCAAAGGAAACTGCAAATTGGCGGGAACTCTCCTGCACGCAGGCTCTCACTTGCAGCAGAACACTCTGCCGTGCAAAGGAGCTCTCATGTGGCCAGGAAATTCCATAGTGCCGAGGCACAAAAATCACTGGGTCGTGACAGTCTGTAGACCTTAAAATCAAGAATCTATGAGAACGGACACAGTTGAAGACTAATTCCCAGCAGGCAAGCTGTCCAGCAAAGAAAGAGCCCACTGATCTGCAGCTGCTCAGGCAAACAGGAATGAGAGAGCACATGGCAGCACTGCAGGTATCAGCCAGCAACACTGGGACATTTCAGGAACCAATATTACAAAAAAGTAACCTGTGCTCAGTGCCCACTCCAGTAACATTATTACGGGCAACAAGACACTTGTAGTTGCCGTTAATACAACACAGAGGATGCTCTGCTCCCGTAACCTAGCAGCAGATGAATGAAGGCGAGACAGCTCCCAAAGTACATCTAGTTTTGTAAGGCTCAGCGTTTTTCCTGGTTTTCAGAGGCACCAATTATAGGTGGCAAGTCCCACATCCAGGAAAAGCAAACGGTCCAACTGGACCTCAAGTCCCCTTTAACAGTCTTGGTAGCACATTACCCTTGAGCCTTGGAGAAACAGTAAGAGCACAGGGGTCACACCTTGCTGCTACTCAGCTACCAGCTCTCCTCGCTGGAGGCAACACGAGCAGCCACCAGTCACAGCTGCCAGCAGCAGGAAACGAGGGGCATGCCGAGCACATCGGGACCTGCAGCATGGGAGGCTCCCCAGGGTACGAGAAGGGCCCCTTAATCTCAGTAAAAGACACCTTCTCCCACACATGCTTCCCCAGCATGTGATTGAATACAGGGATAGGAACATTACTCTAAGAAAGGCAGAAGGGTTTCGCATGGTGCAGGCTGGCTACGATCACACTGCAGCAAGAAGCTGAGCTAAAAATGCACTTCAGCTCCAAGGAGCACATCCTCACTCAAGGAGAGCGCTCCGTATCAGCGGGTCCTTTCCCCCCGCGTCGGCCTCCTCATCCCGTGGCCTGTCCCCTCCGCAGACAGCTGCCAGCGTCAGGCCCTGCTCCGTGTCTGTACCTCGCACCCGGGGGTATTCTGGAGGTCACAGGCCCAGCCCTGCGGTTGAGCCACAACCTACAAGCCCCAACAGCTGGCAGCGGTGTGCTCCGAGGCCACAGACGGAAAGGGTCAAGACCAGGCAAGTGCAAGCACTATTTTTAATTTTTACAAATGTTACGTTTTGAACCAAAATAATAAATAAATGCAAGGAGGAGAGACCGCGCCTTAACACGAATGGACAGAGAGCGCACAAGTGAACCAATGCTCCCGACCAGGGCTACGGCAGGCGCAAGACGAGGCAGGTGGAACCGGGCTCAGGAAGTAGCGATGCCAACCCTCCGGCCTGGCCCGGCCGCCCTCCCCGCCGCACGGCCCGGCGCTCACTCCCCCGAGGCCTGCATCTGCTTGCCG